TGGGCGACGCAGGGACTGTCCGTGCTGCTCTGAGGGTTCTAATGGGGGAAACAGCCTCAGAATTTTCCGTGGTGAGGGAAGTCTCCACCACAAAGCTCCTGCCTCTCTCTGTGCCCTCCCCCTCATCTGGTTCTGGCTGGAAACAGTAATTATACGTCCCAGCTGTGGCCCCCTCCCTGGGCAGCAGGCTGGGCAGAACATCGGAAACTCTTGCTTCTCTTTCCCCAGCCCACCCCTAAGCTCTGGAGGAGGTGGCAGGACCCTCGACCCTTGGAGAACAGGTGGCATGAAGGGGCCTCCCCTCTGTGGTTGGGGAAACTAAGTCCTAGAGGAAGGGAGGAGTTTAGGGCCAAGGTCAGGCCCCCGATGCAGCTGGTGGAAACAATTCCCAAGCAGTCAGGCCCTGAATCAGAAGGGCTGAGAGAAGACCCCAAAGTGGGTAGGTTTGCCCTCTGCTGGAGCCCCTTGGGGGCTGAAGTCACAGGTTCTGAGAGTCTAGCCCTCTCCACAATGCAGTCAGACACTGGCCCAAACCTTGACCCCCACCACCTTCCAGAGCCCCGACCTCCAACCATAACCCCCCAGTCTGGCCACACTGACTTCTCCTGGCCCTCCCATCTCTCAAGTTCAAAAGTTCCCAGGCCCACCCTGACACCTCTTATCACCTCTGCCTCCTGCCTTGTATCACTGGCAGCTATGCATGGGGCTTATCCTGCCCCAGGACTGCGAGCATCCGGGGCAGGGAGCTGCGCTGACTCAGCCCTGCATTCAGCACTCAGCAGTCCTGGGGGGTATTCAAGGGGCCAGCGCAAGCAAGCCAGACAGGGGAAGAAAGGAGCACCCAGCCTAGCCTAGCTGGGGCCAGGAGTCCGCCAGCATCCCAGAGCCCAGCCACGCCCTGCTATGTCCCCATTTCACAGATGGCGGCTATGACCGCACCGGCCAGGTCAATCATGGGGCATCGCATAGGGTGTTAGTGGCTGAGCTAGGGTAGGAACAGGCCAGGGTGCCCACCCTAGCCACAGAACCTCTCATCCTTGGCCAAAATTAAGGCTTGGCTCTTAGAATAAGGCGGGACCCTACAGGCTAGACAAGGGCTCATAATCCCTCCAGGGTGTAGCCCGAGCCCTAAGTCAGTCAAGAGAAAGTTGTCCCTACCATGTCCCAGGGACACCCCCTGACTCACCCCAACCACTTCCTGCCACTTCTTTCCCTTTTTTCCTTGGAAATCTCCATGCTAACAGCCCTCCCCACCCAGGCTTTGGCCAGGGTGGGGCCCAGGCCAGAGAGGCTGTGGGAGAGCCTCCCCCAGGGCATGAGGAAAGAGTGTCCCTTGCTGCTCAGACTGTTTTCTGTCCCTACAAGGTATAGAGGCTGCCCCAGGTCCCCCAGATCCCAGGGTCAGTGTCTGATGAGAGCCCTTGGCAGTGGGAGTCTTCCCTGTTTCTAGACACAGACTTGTGCTCATAAACCCCAAACTTCCACTGTCT